GGATCTGTTCTCCGCTCGCAGCAGCGCGCTCTTCGTCTCCAGCAGAGCTCATCCCGATGTGGCTCCCCTCGAGGGGAAAACACTAGAGTGTGTGCGGCCTACGCCACTTATTTATCGGGTGTGACTGTTTTGGTGATGTATTAACTTCACGGGAGGTAGACGACNCCAGCAGAGCTCATCCCGATGTGGCTCCCCTCGAGGGGAAAACACTAGAGTGTGTGCGGCCTACGCCACTTATTTATCGGGTGTGACTGTTTTGGTGATGTATTAACTTCACGAGAGGTCGACGACAGTCCTTCACACGGACGAAAGAGGGAGTGCTCAAAGAGCGGCTCCCACAGCAAGGAGGGGCCCCGTGAATCATCGCGTTGCCCCCTACCAAACGGTAATGTTACCAGTCTGCGTGACACGAAATCATCCAGCACATGTATCCAACAACAATGTTCGCAGACCCACGAACACCTTCTGCACCCGCATGTAGTCATCAGGCTCCGTCTGCACCTGCGTGTCATCTCCGATAACAATCGCGAAGTCCTCCAGCTGGATGCTGGGTCCCTCGATCCGCGTAAACCACGCCTGCGCGGTCGACTCCTGCGTGACATGGGAAGCCTGTTCCTTGGCTTCTTCCGCCTCCTGCGAAAGGCGAAGCGGGCAGTTGTGCCACCCGTGCTCTTGGAGTTGCGGCAGTACCTGCACAAGCCCTTCGAGTTTTGACCATTGTCCCGGCCCGGTCCTCGACCGTTTCCACCGGAAGCTTGGCTACCGCGGCCATTGCCGCGTCCGCCTTGCGCATTTTCCGCGCTGTCTCCGTGTGTTGAGGCACCTCCGTTGTTCCCGTTCGACGAACCGCCGCCCGTCGAACCGTTCGTAGTTTAGCTGCCATATCCTCGACGACCACGTCCGCCACGTCCACCGCGCCCCCCTTACTTGCGGAAGGCACGGGCTCCTCCGTGCGTGACAGTGTTCAAAGCCCGACCATGACTACCTGCCCCATCAACGCGGTCAGAGTCTTTCCCCCGGATTCGCATTGCATGAAATGTTGTAGCACGGAGAGCGAGTACTTGGAAATCAACCCTACGTACCCGCAGCCGACCTCTGCGACTCACACAGCAACGCAGTCTTCACTTCGCTGTAGTGGCTGTCCGGGAGAGCGTCATGCAAAGCGTTGGACAGCCGCGAGTCGACGACAATATCGCCGAGAGAACCCAACTCGGTAGAAATGCGGCGCAACTCCTGGATCGCGCGTGACGGATGAAAATATTCGTCGCTTGCTGTCACGGTGACGGATGCCAGTTGGGCGTGCAGCTGCTTCATCCGATACGGACCCGCCACCTTGTACTTCTTCTCTAGCGCTACGAAGGCAGCACGACCATCTCCATTCTCAGCATCTCCAATCGGCGCGTACCTCCGCACCACCTGTGATGCCGCGCGGGAGAACCCTCTTGCGCCGTCGGACGTCGACATCAGAAGCCGCATGTAGACTACAGCTCGCCATTTCTCTCTGCGAATTTCTCCATCGCAGTGGCATGCGCCGCCCGTTCGTCCGGGGCTTCATCTCCCGTCAGAGCTTCAGGAGGTTGTTCTTTTCCCGACATTATCTTTCCGAGGCCAGACTTATGCATCAAGACCCGTGTGAGAGTGACCCATGTTCGTGGTAGCGGCAGGTGTATTCACTCAATGGCGGGGTAGTCTATATCTGATTGGACGACTTGACTAGCGGGACTGTCGTTGCAAGGTTACTCCGGTTCTGCAGGTTCCGCTGTGGAACATTCATATAAGTATATGTCGGGCAATCTGTTGGTGGTTTGTGCTTTCCTCCGATGTATTTGTGGCTCGTAGGAAGAGTACAACTACCCGTGATCGGGGAATCGGGATGGTGTGATGATGTGATTCGTGATCAGGTTGTCGGGGTATTGCAATCAGGCAGATAGGGGTGCTGTACGCCCTCACCTTGCCCACTCCCATTCCAAACCAACTAATAAGACCAAGTCTCAACTATCCAACAACCTTCTCTCTACAAGCCACGAGTTTACCAACACGCTATAGCGTCCCACTGGTTTCTGGGCTTCTGTTTGGTGCGTACCCGAGCTGCGTCCCTGGACTTCGGGCCTCGGTGGTGGCCTTGATCACTCTACTACTATGTCAGACAGGGAAGATCCTGCGGCCAACCAGTCTTCGGACGAGCAGCCGCAGGGGTTTGGTGAGAGACTTGTGTCAATGGAATCGCAGATGTCTCAACTAGCGTCTATGGTTAGCACGTTTTTGAGTCAACAACGCGATAGGGATGTGGAGTCCTCTGGTTCGCCTGCTGCGCCGGGAAGCGGCGGACCAGAGTATGCTGGTCGGCACCCTACGGGTGCTGCCGGTGCGAGAGCAAGTAGGGGTGTTGCTGCCCAAGGACTTGGCGTCGCGGGAAGTGCGGGAGGTACGGATAGCAACGTCCAAAGCCTTGGCGCTTCAAGTATGCGACTTGGTACTGGTAGTCTTCTAGGCTCTGACCTGAACCCGCATGCAGGTGTTAATCGTTCCTTTGTTGCTGCAGTAAACTCAGGTTCGATGGGAATTGAGAGTGGAGCGTTCCGTAGCCGGTCTCAAATTCCACCCCCTCCTACTGCTGCTACCNAAAGGGATTTCGCGAGAAACTAAAAATAGATCATATAAGAAGTTGGGCAGAATTTTTGTAGACCTGGGAGGAAAGAAGGGCGTCGCGTCCATCGGGAGTAAATAATACCCCATGATTATAAAAGATTACTACACGAGGCGTGCGTGGTTACATTTCCTCAACAATAAATCAGACGCTGGTAAGGCTTTCAGGAGTTTTCTTGCGAGTGTGCGTGCTGATGGTTTGCCGTCATTGGTCGAGATTGTTAGATCTGACAATGAGTTTTTCTGGGGGGAATTCGCGTCCGTGTGCAATGAGCTCTTGATTAAGCAGGAGTTCACCCCGGCTCACACTCCACAATACAATGGTGTTGCTGAACGTGGCTTGGGATTGATAGAGGAGGCCGCGATGGCGGCTCGTATTCAGGCAAAGGCTTTGTTTGGGCATGTGCAGTTGCCCAAGACTGATAGGCTCTGGGCTGAATCAATGCATTGGGCTTGCGAGGCTTTGAACCACACAGCTTGCAGTGCGAACCCTGACTCGAAGTCGCCGTATGAGATGTGGTATGGTGAAGCCCGTCCTGCTAGACCGTATCCATTCTTGAAGCCGGCGTACTGCAGGTGGCAGCGACCCTCTAAACTGCTGCCGAAGGGTGAGAGTTGCTTCTATGTCGTCCCTTCGAGCGACCACCCGCGCGATTGCCATAGATTGTTGACGAGGGGTGGGATCATTCAGGAGACTAGAGATGTGACGTGGGAAGCGCTGCCGTGTGGACTCCCTCCGCCGCAACCACCGCTGCCGATAGAGCTAGAGGTAGCAGAGGAGGGAGGGGAGGGAAATGACGATAATGTAAAAGCTGAAGTGTGGCCGCTCATGGGTAGAGGGAAGCCCCACATTCGTTTGCAGCCTAGCGCTCCCCCCTCCGGTGCAGTTGATGAGGTTTTCAGTGTTGATGCTGGTAGCTTAGGCCAATCCCCCTCTGTGTCGTCCGCGACTAACTCCCACGCTCCCTCCGTGTCTTCGCAAGATTCTGTTGATGACCAGGAGCTGGGAGGGGCAGAGTCGGTGGGTGATGAGCCTGTAGATCAGGGAGGGGCAGAGTCGGTGGGTGATGAGTCTGTAGGAGGGCAGGATAATGAGGCAGTAGAGCCAGGAGGGCAAGAGGTAGCTCCTCCAGCCACTCGTCGGCCCCGGCATGTTGTTGAGCTTGCTGATTTTAATACTGCCCCGCGTGAGAATGATGAAGTCAGAGTAGGTAGGACTCGCACGCAAACCCGTGCAGTTAACCAGCAGACTCCGTCAGGCCTTGTGGCCGCCTTAGGACCTCTCACTGCATCATAGATTACCTATACACTCGTAGCGGAATAGAAAGCAGGTCAGGCACAGTTGCCGAAAGAGCACATTCAGGACGTAGAACCTGAGCCCGATAGCTATCAAGAGGCCAGGCAGTCGAAGCATGCCCAGGTTTGGGATGTAGCCATGTCTGCAGAATTTGAGGGCTTGGTAAGAGCGGGAACCTTTTTGTTGGCAGTAAATGTCCCGATAGGCTGTAACGTGATTGACGCTCGTTGGGTTTTCAAATGGAAGGCAGACGAAACAGGGAAGATAGTCAAGGCCAAGGCTAGGCTTGTGGCAAAGGGGTTCAAGCAAAAGCACGGGATCGATTATCTTTTGACTTTCTCGCCTACTGCAAATGCCGCATCGATTCGGTTGCTCGTGGCATTGGCGTGCAAGTATAATTTGGAATTACTCCACCTGGACATTGAGCAAGCCTTTGTTCAGACGAAGTTGGATCACGCGGTGTTCATGAAGTTGCCTCCTGGCTGTGGTACGATGTCAGGAAAAGTCGTCCGTTTGAACAAGAGTTTGTACCGATTGAAGCAGGCATCTAAATAGGACATTCTGCATGAGGCTTGTGTCGGACCTGAAGAGGTTTGGTTTCGAGCAGTCTCTGTCAGACCCCTGTGTATTACGTTTCATGATGGGAGACGAGGTCATGGGGATGGTCGCGATCCATG